AGACTCCATAGATTTTGAGACTCGTAGCAGTACATGTGATTTTGGTACATGTGATAAGCGCTATTGTTCAAGTCTATTTAGATTTTCTCTTCAAAGATTCCCGTCTTCCGGTTATGTAAAGCCGGATTTCTCATCTCCGGCAGCTTCTCCGATTAATCACAAGAAAGAGGTTTGTCTTTTTACTTTTGTCAGTAATTATCAGTGAGTCATTATGACTCAGAATATATCATAATTAAGTTATGCTTATTGATAGTGTATGAATTGGAAAATAATAACAATATGATTAATTTAAAAGTAATACCTGTGTTATAGGCTGCGTCTCCAAAATGAGGATTTTCCCATTTTGGGTACAACTTACTCCAACCATTCCCACATTTTTTTCCCCAAACTATTTTATATTCTTCTTTCTCTTCTATATTATACTAGTGAATTTATCCGCGCGAAGTGATTAATAAATTTACAAACAACTCTTTTTTTTAATATGCAAATCTTATCGAAAATAAGTCTCTAACCATACAAAAGAAAAATAATAAAAACAAAGCAATTCGTTATCAAACAGCAACACTAATCAATTTGCTTCTTGAAGTCGACAACACCAATTATCAACCTTCACCAAAGGGCTTGTTTCTTTTCACACTGATAGAGTTTCACATTTTACTAAGGAAAAAAATTCAAAAATACTTACATTGATCAATTAATGCAAAACATACTAAAAATACGAATACTTATAGACATTAATACATATCAATTCTATATTTTAACAAATACTCAATTGGAAGGGGAGAATAACCAAATAATAAGGCAGAAATCTACCAAAGTACTTACAAAAAAGAACATGAGCGGTTAGTAAACATGTTCAAAACCTCAAATAAGTATTTTAATTTTATGGAAGTCTTATGGACGAAAATTTATAGTACCGTATAATTTTATAAAATAGAAAAGGTTTTTTAAAATTTTGGAAAAAATAGATAGATAGAGTTTTCGACCTAAAACTATAAACATATAGGATTTTTAAATGTGTATACAGGAAGTTACTAAATATTGTAGGGTTAAAGACTAACTCCATAGAATAATTCTTTTTCTAATGTCACTGTTTTTTCATATTGAGACATCTTTCTCCTTCACATTTTTTATATCTAATTTCTCACTATCGTTAGACACACTCCCAATCTGGTATGAAATATTTGTCATGAGTATTACATGCACAAATTCACTTTCCTTTGTCTTAACTTAAACATAATTACGTGAAAGCAAAAAAGATGAAACTGGTTGTGTGATCGGCCAGAGAAGTTAATAAGTTGTTGAAAAAAGAATAGAAAGACAAAAGTACCAATAATTAGCTCATAACTTCTTATAATTGATTAACTATTATACAAAAAGTTTTTCTTCTTGATACTTTATTATATTTTTATTGAATATCATATATAGCTAGTAAATACAAAATTACTCCATAATGATCAAAAGTCGTTTTCCTTTTGGAAGGAATTAATACACAGCAAACAGCCATTCTTTTGCACACAAAATCTTGATTTATTGCATCATCCAGTGCACAACTGAAAATTGAATTTAAGAATTAAAAAGGATGGGACAATGAAATGTGAGATTGAGCACAAAGAGTCATTAAAAAGACCTAAATACGTAAATGGGAGGGGGGAAAAAGTAAAAGGAGATAAAAGATGAATACATTTTCATAACATATATGTACTCACAATAAGGATTTCTAGGCTTGAAGTTAAGCTGTTGCTTTATTCTGAGAAGCATTTCGGCCTCCAACGCTCGCATTTTATCTAGTACTAGTATATAAACACCTTCGAATCAACCAAGAGGAGAGAATACTGTCGAGAAAAACCATGAATGTTCTAGTAACAATAACAACACCACTGGTTATAACAACGGTCTATATTGTGGAACTATATTAACTCACTATATTGAATTAAAACATGATCGACCAAATACACCTTAAATGGTAATACTGGTATTCAAAGTAAATGAAATTATGAAAAAATATAGCAAAAACAACTTTGTGAATACGTAATAGAACACTTGACAATATATTATTTTTTTCCTAATTACAATGAACAATTTCACTTCACCTTTGCTCAAATGATGATAAATAGAGCTATATCCAAGTACAAGATAAACTCTAAGTATTTCTATATGTTCACATCTCAATCATATTTTCCGTTGAATTATTAACAGGTGAATCATTCAACTAATACCATAAACATCATCAGCAAGTGGAATTAATAAACACAAGCATACACTAATCTCTTCATAGTCTCACTTTAACAGTAAAAATCAAGTATTATAGCTTTCAGATACATAGCACATAAAAAAAATCAACATTAAGCAAATGAGCAACCAAAAAAAAAGGTGAGATAGAAAGTATTTATTTTTTGAATTAGGAAAAATGTAGAAGACAAAGTAGGAGTGCAAATTGGTTTTCAATTTAATTTGATGCATAGCTAATTACAAAGAAAATACAAATTAAAACGATAGGTTAGTTTCAAAATACTCGCTCTATTTTGTGTTATGTGCTTTTTAGTCTTTAAATGTATTTTTCTTCCATAAGTTCATTGGCATATTTCAATAGCTTTTACTGTCGCACCCTAGTCTTATCTACCATTTTCTGACCGAGTGGCTCCAAGTTAACATATTAGAATTCCATTTATGATAGTAACCATCACCTTAATATAATTAGACCACAAGCCCAACAACAAAAGTATAATCTCATAGAGTAAGTAGATTTGATAGTAGTACATGTAATAGTTCTGACTTCTGATGTAACAATTAAAAGATTAATTCATGGTAGCGCTTGATTCTCTTTGCTACAGAGTCTATTCAGTCTTTAGCATGAGTAACCTGTAAAGTTAAAAGAACGGCAATGTGCATCACTTCAAATTATTCTTACTATGTGTATATCAAATGCTAATTACAACACAACAATATTTGGCACAAAAAAAGGCATTAAACTTTATGCTTACGGCAAAACAGTACTGACCAAGCAGAAAAGAAAAAAATATAGAGTTAATTACTAAAAGATAACAAAAACATCAGAAGAAATATTACCTTCTAAAGCTAAATCATCATTGGATTTTAATATTTTCTCTTGAATCTGCACGAGAAAGATGATGAAATTTTTAGTATGTAAAAAACGTTTTGACATAAAAGATTGATAAAAAACTGATTGGCTATAGGCCAAAAGAAAAAATAAACCGAGGAACAAAAACAAACTCAAAGCAAAAGTAAATTTTAGACAAAGCATAGATCCGATTGCATACGTCTCTTCCGACGACAAAACATTAACTCTGCAATCATAAATAATATTTGTGGACGGAAGAATAGAAAAAATAGAGAAGAGGGAAAACGAAGAAGATGAATGAATTTTGAGAAGTTGTCAGTTGTAACGCTTAGGGTTTTAGTAGTCTTAAAAGGTGCAATTATGTAGATAGTTAATTAGGTGACTTTTGGACTTTTTAAAATATCGCAAAATTAAAAAGTGGAAAAAAGAGCAAAAAATTGAGGTAAAAGATAAATAGAGATCGTGGATGTAGAGAGTGCCACATCAGCTCTCTCATTCCCTGCTTTATATTAATATATATATTATTATCTTTCATTTCAATTTTATTTTTTAATTTCCATTAAACAAATTCCATCTTTTATTTTTATTAATTTGTAATTTCCATTAAAAAAATTTCATAAATTTTAAATAATATAATTTGTAAGCAACTATTATAGATTAACTAATAATTCAAATAAAAGTGAAATCATTGCAACATCTAATATTTTATATTCGCACTTTTCAATTTTAGCAACATCTAATATTTTATATTTGCACCATTCATTTTTTGAGTTAATTATATATTTTTTGTACAATTATAATTTATAATAAAATTAACTTACAATTTTACATAAAAATAATAAATGCACGAAAATTAAAATATCAAAATTATACACCAAAGTTAAGATGTAAAATTAATATTATAAAGATATTACATAAACATAATTAGGTATATATAAAGAGATAAATTAAAAGATTAAATAATAAAATAATAATAAAAAAGTAATGAATAGTAATGGGGGAGATGAATAGTGTACCCCATATTTGAGGGAACACTATTTATCACCCATTTTGGGGACAAAAATGGGAGAGGGTTGGAGCTAAATTATCCCAAAAATTGCCCCCATTACGGGGAATGGGGATAAGGTTTGAGATGGCCTTAAATTGTAATGCTAATATAAATTGGGCAGCCCGGTACATAAAGTATCCCGCAGTCACACAGGATCCGAGGAAGGGCCGTTACCTAAGGGGTGTGATGTAGACAGTCTGCTCTAATGCAAGCATCAATGATTGCTTGCACGACTCGAACTTGTGACCTATAGATCATAAGCAAACAATTTTACCGTTGCTCCAAAGCCCCGCTTCATATTATATATACTTATAACTTAAAATTTCAATTATCATGCATTAACAGTATGAATTTTTTTTATATTATTAAATCACAAGTAACTTTATATAATATAAGATGGAAAATAACTTGATAAGTTAGTAAATTATGCTGATCGTATAAAAAAGATTAACATGGTCAGTTGACTCAGTTCTAAGTTAAATCTACATAAAAGAGTATCACAAAATTATCAAATTACTCATGTCTATAGACAGTAGCCATGTCAACAAAAGTATATACTACGACGGTAAATAATTCACTATAAAAAAATGGATAAATTGCGGAGGTTTATTTGCGGAGGTTTATTTGCGGAGGGTATAAGTAACCTCCGCAAACAAGTAAATTCCGGAGGTTTATTTGCGAAAAGTATAAGTAACCTCCGCAATTTGCATAATTTCGCAACCCTAAGATAATAGCGGCTAATTTATTTTACACTCCCTCCAATTTTTCCCCAATATATTTTTTAAAATTGGAAATTTAAGTCTTAATAAAATACTATAAATTTTTCCCTCCAATTTTTTCCCAATATCTTTTTCACCCTAGAAACTTCCGCCTCAACAAAATACTCCCACCGCTTCTTCATTAATCAAGTTATTCAACAAAATACTCCCACCTCCAGTTTGAAGAATACATTAGTTCTTCCCCATCATATGGAAGTGTTTCACTTGATTCAATAGTCTAATTTGAGTTTTATTTAGGAGATCGATTACGAGTTTTCCAGCTGCGAAAGCGCAAAATATTGATTGCAGGTATTTTAATTGATAAATCTTGCATTTTTCTACAAGCCTACTTGAATCTCCACTTGAAGGCAAAAAATCTGTTGCATGAATGTGCCATTAACATATAGTCGGTTGCTAGTATTGTTTATAGAATTAGGCGTAACCAGTAAGTTTTATTTTCTGATGTTTTCATTCTTCAGGGGGTAAGAATAGGTAATAATATAGTTGTGTCAAACTGGAGACATTTTAGTGAATACGGTTTAGCTTCTTGAGCTTAAAACTGTAAAATTTATATTATATAGTTAAAAAGAATTAATTGAATTTTGGTGAACATTTCTTTGAGTCATTCCCAATGCTTTACGTTCTTCATTTTTAGTTCTATCTGGTTCTAAAGGTGAATGAGATCTTTGATTTCTGTATGGTTTTCATACCATACAGAAATCTTTCCTTTATGTATAGTACATTTCTCTCCAGAAATCTTTTGATTTTAAGTTCAAAAGTTTATGCCATTTTCCAAGAATCACACACTTTTGGTAAACTGAGACTGCTGCATTGGTGTTGTGGAAAGCTGATGTGATATTCTACAGTGTCTAAGCTGATGTTACATTTGAGTATAGGGTCTGCCTCAATCTAAGGTGATGGGAATTTGATTTTTCTGTGCGATTTGAAGTTCTTTTGATGCTAGGGTGCTGTAAAGGTGATAGCGAAAGATCTTATAAGGACGAGGCATCAGATTGAAAAATTTTGTACAAGCTTAAATCCCAACTTCAAGGTGTCTCGCTCAGAATTCATGTACTTATGAAATTTGTACTTTTTATTGGTTAGTTCTGCAAAATTGCTGTTGTTCATGAGAATAAGCACCTTGTTATATGTGGATTGTTTGTACAAAAGCTTACTACTTTATAAAACTGTATTCCTTGATTTCAATCCTGAACAGTCCCTTCAGTAACTTCTGCAATTTTGACAACTAGTTTTTGACTCTACTTCAAGGAAATTGTTGTAATATATTGGTGTTAAGTAAATAGTTGTCTACTCACTCTATATTTTTTTTGATTGAGTTGGTATATACATACATGGAAGTTGATATGACATCTGTTTGGTAGGGTGAAGGTTTTAGGAAACACAACTACTGCAAAAATTCTGTAGCAGAAAATTTGTTGTACAAGTTAATTTTTTTAATAATATTTACGTAGTTTATATGGTATTCTGTCATTATTAATCATAGAAACTGGCATTACTCTTAGTTGCTAAACAAATGTATTTGTTGAAACAACGCCAAAAAAAATAAAAGAAATGTTTAAAGCAAGCAATTAAAAACAAAGAGATATTTTTCATGTTTTTTGTTTTGTCAATTACTCCTCAACTAAAGCAGGAAGCGAAATAACTAGTTCGACATGAACCTTAAAAGTCAGGACTCATGTTTAGAAAGATCAAGTGTTATGACTTGGCTATGAATTCAGAGAGAAGAGTTTAAGTTTTACATTGTCATATTTCCACAATTTGACAGTGTAAATATTTAGATTATATACACAGACAATATGTACAATCTGTTATTATGGGATACACACATAAACTACACTGATGAAAGGTTTAGAAATATTATCATAGCCTTCTATTCCTGTTTAGCACATTCTGATGGAAGGGTTAAGCCATATCGACAATTCAATAGCAAATGTGACTCCAAAATTGGGTGTAACTTGACTGTGACTATGCAAATGCATTCTTTGTTATAGGATTTTCAAGTTTGGTAGTGTTTATGATTATAGATGGCTTTTGTTGTATGTATTTATTGCTTCATAGTTAATATTCTCTATTCTAATAATAGAGAACTGATATTTTCTCTTTATATTTTGTAAGGTTCATCAGCTGCACTTGAAATTTAATACTTTTCTATGGATAAATCTTGGATTAGAAAGCCAAGGAACACGATGGAATATTTATTTGGTTTAAATCAGTTTTTAGATTTTGCATTTGCTAATGCTGTTGTTGGAGATAGAATAAAGTGTCCTTGTCCTAAATATGGATTTGCAAAGTGGCGGACTAAAATTTATGACCATTGAGGAAGTTTCACGAGGATATGTTTATCGCTCTATTGCAAAGAAGTGGGCTGCAAGTAGTCAGAAGTTGTGGTATGAGTTTAAAGACCCATTAAAAACCAAAGATGAGATTATGGATAGTGTTCCGGTGGGTATTACTCGGGATCAATGGATTTCCTTTGTGAACTACCGTTATAAAAAAGAAACTCAGGTATTTTTCTGAAACATCATATTGAAATGCATAAAAATATGATTATTCATTTATTTATTTATTGAAATGTATCTTATTGTTAGAACATGCGTAAAAGATATTAGAAAGCTTTTATCCGCTGGAGGCAGTCCTTCGCAGTTCTTATGTTGAATTGGTATTGATCATTTTATTTACTTCTTCACATATGTTTTTAAAATTTCCTCTAGTTAAGCTGCTCCATACCTTTATTTCCTTAAAACACGTTCTGGAGAAACAATCTTTAGATGCTTCTCAAAAGAAACAATCTTCAGATAGAAAACTATAATATTATATCCTCCTTAGAACTATAGTACTATTGTTGAGTAATTTGTCCCCTCCTTCGTCCTCTAAAAGATAATGCCCTTTTTCTGTTGTTGTTAGTCTGTATGATTGGTTGTTGTACTAGTCCCGTTTCAGCATCTAAATTTAGGGATCATATAGTGAATAAAGATGTTTGCCGATTACTTAACAAGTTCACATAGACTGTGCCCGTGATATACTTTATAAGTAGTTTTGGACAGGTTTACAATTTTAGCTTCTTATCTAGCTTTACAGCATACTTTGATGGATAGGCATTATAGTGAAAAGTCAAAAACTAAGTGGACTTTCATTGATCGATCAACCATCAACAAGCCACTGCTTTCTTCCCCTATTTCTTACATTCCTTGAAAATGCTTGGTCTAAGGCATGATGGATTAGCCGATTTCCTTTGATTGAAGTCTTCTATAAATATTACATGTATAATAGGGGAATAAGATTGTGTTTTAAACATCAACTCCTCAGTACCATAAATCTCCAGGCTAAGAACAATTAATACATTATTCTTTGTTATTTTAAGCTTCATACTTCTACGTTCATATTATTTTCACCCTTCTATTCTAAGAGAAATTTTGAACTTCTTTATCTGCATTTTCTCGTGAGAATAGCTTGCTGCTAGCTTTATTTTTTGCAATTTTCTGTGTGTATGTGCTTGTTGTTTCTCGCCTCTCTAAACTTATTGTCCATTTAGAATTGTACAAAGGTCTATGCTTCCACTAATTTGGCCAACTGAATTGGGTAACACAGTGAGTGTATTTGCTTTAGGAAGAAAGAAGAAAGCATTATAATGTTGATATGTCCTATGGGTAATAGAAAAAGGACTCTAACTTGTTAAGACTATATGGTGTCATTAACAATGATGATTTTTTTTCCAATTTTGCACTTCTGTTTTCCTTTCAAGAGTTTATGTGTATTAGCTTCAATACTCACTGCAACTGCTTGATGCAGACAACATATATTTTATCTCAATGACTTGTATACTCCTCTTAATACTTGTGCTTTTTAATACTTTTTGCTGCAGCCAAGTGATGCAGCTAGTGGACCCATTTCACCGACGGATGCAAGAAGATCTCGTGGCGCTAGTAATCCCAGTGACCATTGAGATTCATTTTAATTAAAGTGAATGTATTAAGACAATGTAATAGCTTACTAATATAGACGGTTAACTATGTTCTAATTTAGCTTGATGACATATGATACTACTCTGTCATAGTATTTTTCACTGTTAATGAAATGTTGATGTTTATTAATTTTAATGTTTTGGTTTAAGCATAAATATTTCAATTGATATTAGGGAAAGGGTATGGCAAATTGATGATAAAAATCAATTTTATAATATATTTAGAAATAGATGTGGATAATTAAAACCCCCAAAGAGAAATTGATCAGATCCTAGGGTGTACTCATAAGAAATTGCGGAGTTTTTACAACCCCCACACTCAAAAAAAATATATTAAATTTTAAAAATAATAATCTAGCTTTGCGCATGAAATTGCGGAGGTTAAAATTGCAATTTGCGGAGGTTTTTGCTGTCATGGCGGTTCGGGAAACCCCCGCATTTATCTGCCACAAATAATAGTGGCGATGCTTACTGCGGGGGTGTGCTCAACCGCCGTGACAATAAATAGCGGAGGTTTATAACCTTCGCAAACTGCAATTTTAACCTCCACTATTTACCCCTTTTTTTGTAGTATAATGTGATACTCCTATTGTTTAATTGGAGAAATGTGTCATTTTACTACTCCATATAGAAACAAATTACTGTTTGTTTTGGTAAGTGTACGTTTGATCACGCCTCTGCCACTAAAATCTTTTTCTAAGGCCATCTCAAACCTTGCCCTCATCCCCCATAATGGGGGAAATATTTGGGGGAATTTAGCTCCAACCCTCCCCCATTTTTGTCCCCAAAATGGGGGATGAATAGTATTCCCTCAAATATGGGGTACACTATTTATCTCCCCCATTATTGTTCATCACTTTATTATTATTATTTTATTATTTAATCTTTTAATTTATCTCTTTATATATACCTAATTATGTTTATGTAATGTCTTTATAATATTAATATTATATCTTAACTTTGGTGTATAATTTTGATAAATTAATTTTCGTGCATTTATTATTTTTATGTAGAAATGGCAGTAGATGAAAATCAACGATTTCAAGAATTTTTATTTCGACATAGAAGAATTAAGGACAAAGATGCTCATTTTGCACTTCGTAATGCATTAATAGATCATTTATGGGAGAATACTAGAGGTTGAAGTTGAATATTTATCTAGTATTTCGAATGAATTTTATCGTTATGTAATATGTATTTAATTAATCTTGTATCGCAATGATTTCACTTTTATTTGAATTATTAGTTAATCTATAATAATTGCTTACAAATTATATTATTTAAAATTTTATGGAATTGTTTTAATTATGGAAATTACAAATTAATAAAAATAAAAGATGGAATTTGTTTAATGGAAATTAAAAAATAAAATTGAAATGAAAGATAATAATATAATATAGAAGAATTAGAAGAATATAAAAAATTTGGAGAAAAAAATGGGAGAATAGTTGGAGTAAGTTATCCAAAATGGGGATTGTAAAGGTGGGAGATGCTCTAAGAGAGTAAAACAGTACTTTCCAGAAAAGGACAAAATAATTTTATACTACTGTGGATCCAGAAAAAGACAAACTTTCATTAACCATCTTTGTCGTGTATTTGTGCACGAATATTTACTTGCCTGGAATAAAGATCAGCGGTCAGCTTCATACTTAAAGACTTTAAAGTTAACTTTTATGTAGTAGAATAATTTTACATTATTTATTTGAAAACCGTGGTATCCAATCCGTACTTGATAATTCTATCCACTAAAGTTTAGATAAATAGAAAGAAATCACTAGTGATTTTGTCCATGACTCTTTACCCTTCATTGATCAATAGAACACACCCGGGTGCAAATAATTTTATATTATTACGTCAACTATATGCAAGTGCCCATAAGAAATAAACTAGTAACCTAAAAATCAAAGTCTATCTCAAAGTTAAAATATACTAATTATAGCATAAATATTATTTACATTTACAGTGTAAATAAATTAAAGGCCAGTCAACTTAATAATTAAAGCACTGAATTGTTCTTGAATTTTATTAGTGTAACTCTCAATTCCTAACTAGTTAGGCCTAGTTATAATATATAGGAGTTTTCGGCTAAATTGGAATTTTAACCTTTTGTCTGTTTAGGACAAAAACTATGAAACGTACAATAGCCTTGGCACGTATTGAGCTAGAAGAAGAAGATGATGAGAAAGAGCAATGCAGTCCAATTTCTGTATTGGACCCTCCATTTGAGGAGGATGATCATGATGATGAACATGAATGCAGGGACGAGGACGAGGACGAGGATTCTGACCATGAATGCAGTTATATATGCACTTGTACAAAGTACGTAAATACGTATCTATTTTCTTGAATTCTTTTATTTTTGTGCCAATCTTTGGTAACTTGAATACTCTTTAAAAAGTTTGTGATTATTGTATATGAGTGAAATTTAATGTGGTATTATTGTGTTCGCACTTCTAGCTAGCAGGAGCTCAGCAGCAGCTTTTATATTAAGTTTGAAAAACTAGCAGAGTTAGATCCAATTGAACTCGAGAAATTAATGCTGGACGCAGATGACATGATCTAGTAGAGGAAGAGGACTATCAAGATTCAGACCTGATTTCTGAGGAAAAGTCTGAAGTTAAAAGCTTGAACTATGGAGAAGCAGTCGAATACATACAAGAGGTTTGATTTATGGCAAGAATTAACAAACAACATAGGGATTACACAAACCTCAGAACACCCTGCATGAGATACCCCACCTGCTCTGCCCCAAGCCGATTTCTCTCTATACATTTCCACAGTCATAAACATTACGCAATCACTTAATTTTCCCGAGTCTAAACTCATGTCACAAAATGAAAAATCTACTTCACTCTTCAACTAAACAACATGAAAAGATCCTTCAACACACCCATACCTCAAGACTATACATCAAATCAAGATGGAAATCAAACACCAAATAGTTTTTTCTACACCTCAAGAACACCATTCTCGTCACGTTCAAATCATATGAACACATATCGCATTTAAAGAATAATCATCACATAGCCACCCGGCAGTGGCGAGTGTTGTTTCTCTTGCGTTGAAGATGAAGGGTCATGTTGTGGCCATTGTTGTAGTTTGATGAATGGAACAAGTTTCAGAAGCAAAGAGAAGAAACTGCAATAGAATTTGCTTTTTCTATATTTGCATTATCAGAAGAGGAATTAGGAGAGGAGCTACTTCACTTGGCTGGATTTCATGGGAACTACAATAATGTTCTGGACTAATATTCACACCTAAATTTTCATCTTATATAAATCTTTTATCTTAGTCTTTAAAGGTGAATTATAGTATAAATAGCATGGTAAAATAATATACTGAGTGACTATATAGCCTGCTTGGCCAAGCTTTTCCAAGGTCAAAATATTTTTTTTTTCAAAGTTGAAGTGTTTGGTCAAACTTTTAAAAAAATACTTTTGACTAGAAGCAAAAACAATTTTGGAGAAGCGGAAAAGAATAATTTCTTCTTAAAAATACTTTTTTAAAAATACACTTAGAAGCATTTTTTAAAAACTTGGGCAAACACTAATTACTGCGCAAAACTTTTTTCAAATTAATTAGTCAAACACAAACTGTTTTTCATCAAAAATACTTTTGAGAAAAGTACTTTTAAAAAATCACTTCTCAAAATAAGATGATTTTAGAACTTTGGCCAAATGAGCTATAAATAGAACATGTCTAATGGATTGAGGTGTTACTTTTAAAAGGAATTACTTGTTGCTGCTATTATTGCACGTATAGAATTAAAAAAAATAGAAAAAACTAGCTTATATAAATGAACTTAAATATATTAATGGAAAGATGGTTCTTGCTGTTGTCACCTTTCCACTTGTGCATTATGAAATAGAATAAAGAACTTTTAGCCTCCGGTTTGTAGGAATTTTCTAGCAAATTATTCAAGGGAAAAAGGCTATTATTACCCATGTACTATTGTAAATAGTACACATTTGTCCTTCATTTCACTTTACGTCCAAAGCCCACTCTATCATTAACAAACTTGATGGAAATGCCCCTAACCCTAACGAATAGCCAATATGGCAGCTGACTCACTCCATTTTTTCCATATCAGCTGCCAAGTCACTTATTTATTCAATTAAAAAAAGAAACATACCCCCCTCCCCCCAAACCTACCCCTTCCGAGCTCCCTACTTCTTCTTCTTCCGTGAATTCATCATCTTTGCTTCAAATTTTTCAATCCAAATTAGTCCAGGTTTTTCATCAAACTGACTCAAGTTGCAACCATAACTTCTCGACATTAATATTCTCAATAAATTTTAGCTAACAATTTGCTTAAACTTCAGCAAATTTGAATACCCATTTTATGTTCTTAAGCATTCTTACAAATCCTTCAATGGTGATTTTTTCTTCTTCCAAATCTATAAACATCATTGTTATTCTTTCTTTTTCAAGCTCCAATTTTTATTTTTTTCAACTCGATTTCAGTAGGAAACAAGCAAGAATTTCAGATTCTTGAGTCTTTTTTCAACTTCAAATTTCGGCAACCCAAAAAATGGAGCACAAATTTGTTCTTCACTTAAATCCACGAAATTAATATTTGATTCACGATTTTAAGCTCCAAACAACAATACCCAGCTGATTTCCTCCATATATAATCACCAAATCGAATTGTCAACTTTAATTTTTTGACACCCAAATAACACACCATAGTGGGTTTCGAGATTTTGATAATTGATTCAGAGGTTTTTGACCATCAATGTATGTGTTTTTCAATGTAGCATGTCCTGCCATGGCCGAAATCTATAGTAGCTATCAAGAATCTCTAAATAGTGGACATGCTTCAGATTTGGAGTACAAAATAGTAACTTGTAAGCATTGGCTTGGTTGAAGGCACTATAATGGGCCTGCACCTTTCTTTTGTCTTGCACATTGTGCTGATTGTTAAATAGCAGGAGAAATTTGTAAATCGTTTGATGCAACCACAACTGTTTATGGTGAACCAACTTTTTAGACTGTACCTATATTCAGATATGCTTTTTTTTAATTAAGTAAATAAGTGACTTGGCAGCTGACATGGAAAAA